CATGTAATCTATCGCTATTCTCTGCGTGGAATATTTATTTCTCACAAGCTAAGTGAAAATTATGTTTATAATGAGTGAACAATAGTTAAAAAGTAACATTTTGCATGATATATTAAATATATTATTAAATAAATATTTGACTGGCTGTCAAAGTAAAATCCAATCATCTAACATTTGCCAACGCATTTAAATATAGACAAGTGATTGAGATGTGAACATCCTCCTACTTCGTACTAGAAAGTTCCACAATATAATGCCAGATGTCTTTTCCTTCGGAACTTTGATCTCTACCCTCCTATTGTGTTAAATCATAGAGGTATAACATGCTATATCAATATGCTTTCACCCAAACTTGAAAATTCTCACGAATTAACGCTATTCCCTGCAATTTTGCCTCTAAATTTAGACCACTTCTTATGTACTTCAATTATATAACCGCTGAAGTATAGAAAATATAGGTCAAATTATTTAATTATATAAGCTCAATTTTTACTAAGTCATTTTTATTAGTGCCAGTCAAGAAATTTAAAAAATTCGAGATTTCTCGAAAATAAGGAAGTATATGCTATATATATATATATATATATATATATATATATATATATATATATATATATATATATATATATATATATATATATATTACGCATATGCCATATGCATTTATTTCATGGTAAAATGTCTTACACTACCCAGGCAGAATAAGATTTCAGCAAATCTTACTGCGACATGATTTGAAGGAATAGCTACTTTTTTCCAAATTCTTTATTCTTTATTATATATATTCATATCGTTAAAGAATAGTTATTCTCACGGTATATTACAGAAGTATAAGATAAGACTACAATATGAAGTGCTTGATTTTGTAAGGAAACAAAGAAAAGGAAATTCCTTATAAATTGAAGAAATCACAAAGAGTGTAATTTTACTATGGATATATGTTTAAAAATTATGCAACTAGTGACTTACGCCGGTATATATCAAATTGTATAGCTATGCATGTATCGGTGTATATTATATGTGTGGTTGCATGCATGGCCTGGACGAAAATTCATGTTAACTGCTATATGTACGTACTGTGAGAAAGAAAGAATCAGTGAGGTGGCAGACTCGGAGCGGAGCACAATGGAACATCACGCCTTTTAAATAAACAACTGACATATTTATGGTAATTCAAAGAAGAGACTTGAAATCCGCTTCTTGAATCATAGACATAGAGTTGCGTGTTTAATGTTTAACACAAAAAACTACAAATCGTTTCAGTATTTGTTTACATTTACGTAAATCTATGATCTGCAGTATGCAAAGCACTACTTACATGTTTATATTAATAACCAGCTAATAGCACGGCATTCAATTGCTTCGATCCCATACTAAGGCATCAGGCTCAGTAAATCTCGGCTTGCTAAATCCTCCGCTATTACGAGATATGTAATATGCTCATACAACACATAATTATTTCAATACAGCCTATTGATAAAATATATAATCCCAGCTTACCCATTCCAGGAAACCAACAGCTTGTGCGAGCTATGAACAGAAGAATTATTACCACAGATCTCATTTTTTTCAAATTCTTTAGCCAGACAGATGAAAGTCTTTTTGGCAGAAACCGAGTACACTTTGGTGAAAGGCGATCACTGTACTGTACCAAGGAGAACAACAATATTCACATATGATAATAGGCGTATAGTGTTTAGTCTTCAATTGGTTAAAATAGTAAACATATCTCAACTCATGGCAGCAAATATACAAACACTGCGACGATGATTCTTAATTTATGTAACTGGATAATCTTGAGATGAGGCCCAGTTTCTGTTTACACCTTCAGATAGTTATCAAGACAGGTGTTCGGGTATTTCAATCAAGTCGGGACAGTTCCTGCAGATACAAAGACGAATGAGTTTCCATGTTATAAAGATGAAAGGAAGAACGATGTATACAAAAAAAGTATAATTAACGTGAAACTGTCGGAGGCTATAGGTTATTGATGCACAGCGAGAGCTTATGCAAAGTGAACGACACCCAACAAGGCAACATAATAGCAGCCACTAAATTATTTTCAAATCTATCTTCCTTTGACTATCAACAGACGATTATAATAGGTCTCCTTTGGTCACCCCACTTCAATGTCCTGCTAAATGTCAAAACGTATACCAGTAAAAATGATCACTCTGGAGCAACTGTATAGCTTCTAGTTTCTCACGCTAGATTAAGATTATACGACAGTATTGTTCTAAATTGATGGTATTATAATAAAACAAGACGACCCACCTATAGAAACAATTAAGGCAGTGACTTTTCAAAAGGCATACCGAGACAGTGAAAAGGTCTTTCTTCTTGTAAAATCTTGCATAAATGATTAAAATTACTCCATTCAGCTACACTAACACATACAGAAAACACAAAATTACTCAATTCACTTCCACTTGAAGATTTATCAATAATTGATCAAACAGCTGCAACGGGAAAGCAAGAATGCGTTTATGCCTTGTGGCTGTGCATACAAAGACTGCGTGGGCTTGCGTTTGTATATGGTATTTAAAATGTAAACAGAGTAATGAATGATGTCTATAAAAGATTGTTAATTAATTAACTCATATAGTTCTCGTTTCAATCCTCTTCTAATCCCACAATATGCCTTCTTGATAAAAGAAAAGTACATGGATATTTATATTTGATGCTATGGCTATAAGTACGAGAGCTAGATAACTCAATAGTATAATCTACAATCTAATGTGTGTTAGACAATATTTCCAAGACAATTTACTTCAATTATCTAAGGCTAAGCACATGTACTGCGGCACAAATTAAGACATTGAGTGATGAAACTAAGCTATCAAAATTACAAAAATACGTACAAAATGGTCAACATTAATGTCCCTAAATTGAAAAATTAAAGTCTCTCGTTACATGTACAGTGCTTTAAATAAAAAATCATCAAAATATATAGAACGGTCTAATATGAGTTAGATTCATACAAGCTTCGGATGTGCTATAAATCCTCATGTAAAAGCTCGATCAACTACGTTGCCACAAGGTCATGCAGAGGCGAAATAAATTAAACAGATTTATCAAGCTCTTGAAATTAGTTTCTGTGTTATCAAAATATGCTATCCTGTTTCATTAATAAATAATGATTTCTGGATATTTCAATTTAATCTTCAGCTCCGTGCTAACAGCTGGAAGAATAGGGTGCTCAATATTGTCCAATGGCTATATTTTTTCAACATCCATTTTGTCATCAATGAAAATCTGTTTCTATCGTATTTCGAACAGCACGTCCACTTTAAACTAATCAGTTGTTTCTCAAAAGGTTATGAAGTTAAAAAAAGAGCTAATCTGCTACTATATAAACATTTGATGAATACATGTTGAAGCTATTATAATGAAAGAAACTGAAGCGTTTTTCATCAAGAATATAGTTATAGTAATCTCAGCATGAATGCATGCACCTTGACAAAACACGTAGGATTCTCATTAAGGCCAAGTAAAAAAAAACTGTTTCTCGTCCAGATATCACAAAAAAGGCGGGAAGCCAGTCTTTTTTCAATTAATATTTTTTAAATTAAGTTCCAGACGGATTTTGAATGTTATATCAAAGGCCAAATAAGAAACTCATAACAAAACGCTTTTAGTAGAATAGATTAGAATTATTTAATACTAGAATAGACTGATAGATTTTCTATGATTTTGATATTTTATTTGTAGTTCCGGGGACGGTTGTTCAAAGATGGATTAGCACTAACCCTGGGTTAAAATTTAACCTGCTGTGTCAGTTTCTGCACGTCTGTTTATTTCAAAACTCTTCAGAGAAGAAAACTCCTATACTGATCCAGACAAGATTTCTGAAGAAATATTTCCAACATTTATAAACAAGCTGTTGGGAAGTTTGCTTTGAATTTTAGGTTAACCCAGGGTTAAGCCAATCGGCTTTGGAACAAACTACCCTGGATGGATAAGTAAGCGACCACTATCGCGTATATGTAAATATACGAATATCCATCAAGATGGAGGCATGAATGTGTAAATGTACGAATATCTTATCAAGGTGGGAACATTCCAAGCTGCATGGCTCGCCGGCAAATACAGTCGCTTTTATTGTATTAATAATGCTAACTAATCAAGTAATCAAAACAATAGTTTGTCATTTGGATTGGAAAACAATAAAGAAAAAATGAGGAAGCAGCAAAAAGAACTGAAGCGGGTCGAGACGCGAAGCACTTGTTTTGTTTTATTTGGCCTTGTCTGAACGTCGACAAGAATATGTAGTGACTCTTCCACAGTCCCTCATCCGTTATCCGTGCGCGCGGTCGCGTTAATTCCCATTAAGCACCGCGCTCCCATTGTTTTTCCACTGATCTCTATTCCCAACTGAAGCGACGAGGGACGAGGCAGGAATATGTATACATGCAACTCAAATTACCAGTTGCAATTTCAATTAAACATTTATGCCCATAGTGCAGGATTTTATATACATGAGAATTACGCATGAACAAACATATACACATCAAACTTTCGCCCTATATGAATGAACATTTGCTCAAACTAGTGACAGTAGTGTCCAGTCGCTTAACTAATGTGAAATTACAGACGCGCCATTTTAAGGCCCGGTGTAGGATTAACCGTATGCTAAACTGGTTTTGTAATACCTTCTTTAAATAAAGTTTATTATTATTATGATTCTTATTATATGGAGGAGAGACCAAAGCGCATGCTGTGAGCACCAGACCGTTTGGCTTTGTGGGGGGGGGGGGGCAGACACCCAGACAAGTATTTAGCACTTTCCTCGTTCACCACCTCCTAGTTGGGACCATTTTTCTCAGCATGAGCTCCACCTTTGAATTTACTATATGAGTAAATTGTTAAACACGTCCGAATTTATCAATATGATAAATTCGCGGCATCTAACTCCTAACACTAACCCCTAACCTTAATCTAACTTTTTTAAACTTTTTTTACTTTTGCTTACTTTTGTAAACTTTTTTTGAAGATCTTGTCGTGGATCATAACAGATTTTAGTATTAGCGAAACGGAATGTTCTGCATGTCATTCAACCTCGTACCCAGGCTCTTTTCACTACCTCCTCGTAGTGGAAAAAGCCTGGGTACGAGGTTGCATGTCATTTGCATTAGGTTCGTCACGTGAAAAATGGGGTTTGAGAATACCACGGCGACAGACACATGTTAACATAAACTGACACTTCAATCATTGAAATTTTCACTGTGCTATTAGCTCATTTGCTGTAAGATTAGAAAATAACTCAAAGCTTTTGCTTGTTTTATATGCATAAGAAATTTTACAATGTTTATAACTATTAAATCAGTCAAGAATAGTTGTGTTTTGACTATGTGAAGAGCTGCCAGGGCATTTTTTAACTATATAACTACTGGGGCATTTACCCAGTAGGCCCTTTGTTTGCCCCAGTAGTGAAGCAAGATTCTCAGATGAACTGGGCCCTTTTGGTCATTAGTAAAAAGTAAACCTTGTTGAAAAAGCTGCATCTGCCTGCTTTCTCATATCCTCTCACATTCTCGACATTCCATCTTATAAATGTCAGAACAGTCAAGGGTGGTGCTAAAAACGGGTGGGTGGTGGAACACCCCCAGTCGTCAGGTACTCGGCAAATTATCTAATTGCAGTTGGATAGGAAGGAAAGAAACTAAAATATTTGAGTGACACTGATTAAAAACTACTATTTATTACAAATTTCACCATTAAAACTTTGTTTTGAGCACAAGCGGCCCAATCTTGCAAGGGTCAGCATAGTAATATATATTATTGTAAAAATATGTCATAAAATATAAATTTTAAAATGAAATTGACTTGCCTATTTGATAGTGTGTATTCTCCTTTTATTCCTTTTTTGTTGGACTAATATTTTGCGAGACTTTGGAAATTATTAGTCCACAATGAGTATATTCGTCATTATTACGAAATTTTTATCATTTTCTTAATCGCTTATGAACTTAACAATTATATCATCGACATCAACTATTTAAACAATTGCCATCTGCCTGAAGCAGACACAGAGGTTTGTGCAATATCTCATTGCCCTAGGAATGTCTATCAAACGTCAAATTATCAGACAGTAACTTTGATTTAATGATTTAATGATTTAATAAGATTCGGCAACTACTTAAATATACAACAATGAATGTCAGTTGTATTCAATAAAAAAAACAGCGACCATTAATTCTTTACATAAAAATTACGTTTAAATAACTAACGAAACAATCTAAGTAGAACAACAAAATTACAAAGTATCATACATAACATGCAGTTTATCTCCAACATACTCATACATGCACTTTCCTGAGCAATATCGAGGACACAACACGCCATAAATGACCAAGCAAATAAATAATGCGGTGTTTAAAACACCATCATGCAAGGGACCTAGCCCTTTTACATTTAACACAAACAGATTTCCAAGCCGAGGATCGTCACAGTTATACGTGTTCAATAGTGCGTTCAAGCTTATAGTACAATTTCAGTCCTGAATAATGATTTAAAAGCACTGATAAAAACCGGCAATGTTTCTGTCTCGAAGGTTATCCGGTAAAGGTTATCACTTAAAATGTTCCAGGTTTTACAAGCTCTAATAAAATTGAGGACTGGAATTTATTTAGATTGTCATTTCTTTTCACTTCTACTTTCTAGTGATTCCCGATCCTGATATAACCGGTCAAGCACTGTCGTCAATATATGTATAATTGTTGATGATTTTATAGAGTAGGGATATATACAGGTACAGTATTCGTGCCAGTAAGTTATGCGTAGTAGGTCTTACGTATCGAGTTATCGATATGAGCTATCGTTTTATGAAATTCCTGAACGATCGAGTTCATATGAGGCCTTGGATATGACGTACCTTGAATATATCGAGGCCTTGAATATGACGTACCCCCAATATAACTAGAAATGAGATAGAATGATAGAAGATCGTAACCTTCCATCATAAACACCTCATTCAGTTGTCCTCATTTAATTGGCTGATTAAGATCAAGTGTTTTGAAAAGGATCCTTTCTCATCATTGCATTGTGATGGTTTTATGTGGATTCTTGTACTACAGTCGATCCCATACTAAGCAGACACCTTCGGGACCTCACTAATGTATCTTCGGGGCCTCGCCAATGTGTCTTCGGCACATCACCAATATGTGTATTCGGGACCTCACCAATGTGTCTTCGGCACATCACCAATGTGTCTTCGGGGCCTCGCCAATGTGTCTTCGACACATCACCAATGTATCTTCTGGGCCTCGCCAATGTGTCTTCGACACATCACCAATGTGTCTTCGGGGCCTCGCCAATGTGTCTTCGGCACATCACCAATGTATCTTCTGAGCCTCGCCAATGTGTCTTCGACACATCACCAATGTGTCTTCGGGACCTCACCAATGTGTCTTCGGGGCCTCGTCAATGTGTCTTCGGGACCTCACCAATGTGTCGGGGCCTCGCCAATGTGTCTTCGGCACATCACCAATGTGTCTTTGGGGCCTCGCCAATGTGTCTTCGACACATCACCAATGTATCTTCTGGGCCTCGCCAATGTGTCTTCGACACATCACCAATGTGTCTTCGGGACCTCACCAATGTGTCTTCGGGGCCTCGCCAATGTGTCTTCGGGACCTCACCAATGTGTCTTCGGGGCCTCACCAATGTGTCTTCGGCACATCACCAATGTGTCTTCGGGGCCTCGCCAATGTGTCTTCGGCACATCACCAATGTATCTTCTGAGCCTCGCCAATGTGTCTTCGACACATCACCAATGTGTCTTCGGGACCTCACCAATGTGTCTTCGGGGCCTCGCCAATGTGTCTTCGGGACCTCACCAATGTGTCGGGGCCTCGCCAATGTGTCTTCGGCACATCACCAATGTGTCTTCGGGGCCTCGCCAATGTGTCTTCGGGACCTCACCAATGTGTCGGGGCTTCGCCAATGTGTCTTCGGCACATCACCAATGTGTCTTCGGGGCCTCGTCAATGTGTCTTCGGCACATCACCAATGTGTCTTCGACACATCACCAATGTGTCTTCGGGACCTCACCAATGTGTCGGGGCCTCACCAATGTGTCTTCGGCACATCACCAATGTGTCTTCGGGGCCTCGCCAATGTGTCTTCGGGACCTCACCAATGTGTCGGGGCCTCACCAATGTGTTGGGGCCTCACCAATGTGTCTTCGGCACATCACCAATGTGTCTTCGGGGTCTCGCCAATGTGTCTTCGGCACATCAATGTGTCTTCGGGACCTCACCAATATGTCTTCGGGACCTCGCCAATATGTCTTCGGGACAACGCCAATGTGTCTTCGGGATCTCACCAATGTGCCCGCTTAAAAGGAGTGTCCGCTTGATAGAGTTTGCAATAGCGAACACAGCAGGAGGTAACACGCAACTATTTTTACACTGACCTGAAAGGTCAAGTGTCTTAAATCCCTAATTATCTGGGTTTTTTGCTGTTATTTTCTGGGTATTTTCGTCGTCGATGAATCGAGTTTGTGTTGGCGCATCGCAGGCTTTATAGTTTCCACTTTCCAGTGTCCCAGTCGTTCCAGTTTACTATACAGATCAGTTTTCAAGATGGCGGCCATTCAGTGAGTGACTTATTTCGATGGCGGTACAAGAGGGCAAAAAGACTATAGATTCTATTACGAAAATCAAGATTTTTGCATTTTTTGCCGTCGCATTGTTTTGAAACTTAGGTCAAATTTTATGGTAAATACGCTCCAACTGACCAACTGACCATTTCACACGAACTTTTATCGCTGGATAATTTTGCGAGTTTTCATCCAATTCAATCATATATATGCTCAAAATCTTCGCGGTACGTTTCTCTTTACCATAAAATTTGACCGAATAAGTTTCAAAACAATGCGACGGCAAAAAATGCAAAAATCTTGATTTTCGTAATAGAATCTATAGTCTTTTTGCCCTCTTGTACCGCCATCTTGGATTTATCATGTAGGCCCCGCCTGCGTTAGGTATGCGTTAGCAATCTAGATCTCCTATATCTATGCTTATTTCCAAGCCAAAATTAACTTGCATGCCAATAACAACAGTAAGAACTAAGATGTCGACACTTAAGTTTGTTTTCCACTACACCATTTCGCTCGCCGCGGGCGACATATTGATTTACGTTGGACAAAGTTACCATTCGGTCGGACACCAATATACTCGGGTCGGACAAACAATAAACCTCAGTTTCAATTAGGTCGGACAGAATGTCCGGTGGTTTCCTCACTACGTCGGACAATTTCGCGAATGGGTCGGACAATGTCCGTGACCGACCGATATTTTAAGGCCTGATTATACGGATCGCGAATCGAATGTATAATCGCGTGTTATTGTTCCTGAATATACGGCCCGACATTATGGCTTTTGCCTGCAATTTAGATACAGAATAGTACGCATATGTAAAAGGCGGACAAAAGGCAGAATCAGTAGGAGCAGAATTCTATATGTAAATTATCAAAGGCAAATTAAAGCTCATTACTGTATGTCACAAAAATACAGTTATTGTAACTAAAGTTCCTTGTTTTAAAGGACGTTATGAAGCAATGTATTTCATTAAAAAAAAACAACTCTCATAATGTACGAAATGCCATTTCAGACCCCCCGGACTTTTACAAAGGTGTCATCCACATCCCCAATCTCACTCTTAACTTCTCTGCAAAGTTGAGAGGATCTCCTCGGGATCACGCCACGCTTTCAGCCTTTCATGCGTTTGCCGTTTGGCTTGTGGTTCACGATTTGTATTCCACCATAGCCCGTATGTCGTCATTTTCAGGTCAGTGTGAACGCCTGCCTGAGCAGGCGTCTTGTTTTTTTTACAATATTTGTCAGATAAATGACAGGTTATACCTACAGAGCTGAACACTCCTTTACGGGTAACCTTAACTATTTATACAGAATACATATAAGTGACATAGCTAAGTGATATTATTGACAACACGATTTAACAGAGAGACTAGACAAGGGACGACATGAATGACATTTAACACATATTGTTTTGAAAGTTTGTGGCACACCAATGTCATAAATTTCTTCAGAAGTTTTCTGACAGTGTTTAAAGAAATTACATATAAATTGATTAATGGAGATATTTGATTGACGGAAATCCGATAGTAAACAGTTAAATGTTATGTCTTGAGGAACAACTACTTGAAAGACAAATAAGGAAAGGTTTGTTGTAGGAGATTACCACATAGAATTACTTTAAAATGAATAACAAATATGTGTCTAGTGAATTAGTTGAATTTTCTTCAAACATTGATTTTTTATTAAATTTAGTTTAGTGTATATAGTTAATAGTTACATTCATCAGTTATACGTTTGTGCGCTTAACAGAGGTTATTCGGCTCTTTGGCACCTCAAGTTAAATGTCCGCTTCCGCGCTTAATAGAGGTGTCCGCCGAATAGCGGTAATTAATGATAGTATTTTATTAAATGTGATATCTTAGTAGCCTGCGTGCACTTCCAGACTCCCAAAGGAAGTAGGGAGTCTGTGACTGCGCACAGGGAGTTCCTTTTGTAGTATGGGACTGCGCACAGGCTAATATTTTAGGAGATTTTTCAATTTTAAAAATATTCTTAACAAAATTATCGTGTTACCATAACAACTACTTTAAATACGCCATGTTTGGTAAATATAATGTTTTTGTCAGCAAGGCGAGGGTTTCTACTAACAGTTTTACCGGCAGTCATCACTCGCTGGAAGAATGTATGTCAAATTATCAATTATCACAAATTTCTATTATGATTTTATTAATGGCCAGAGCGAGGTAATTTCAATGAAATTCCTTGGCTTTAATAAAGATATTTAAATATTGAGATGCAATTAAGCTCACATTTCAACTTACAAAACCTATATTTTTAAAAATATGTTAGAGGGTTAAGAGTTAACAAGTTCGGTATCTTATGAATTGTTTTGGAAAAAGCTTTCTTCCTCGACCTTTGTTTTTAGAAATTAGTTGTTTAGTTAGTAAATAATTTAGCATTATATGTTGGAGATAAGTTGTGTAGCAGTATTCAAACAAATTTATAAATTTGTACTTTTGTAACATTAGCACGCCTCTTTGGAAAATCAACTGCATGTTGAAAAGATTAGTGAGTTTAACAAAAGTTGATCATCATAAAAAAGGATCGTGTCACGCTTTTGTTACTGTTTTTATCTTTATCGTATCTATCTATCTATCTACCCCAAATCAACAAATAACAATAAAAGCATCTTGTTTGGTGCATTTCCAATGATTAATCAGATAAAAGAAGCAAGGATTTTAGTCAAAGACTGGTTTAAATTAATAAACGATGCTTTGCAAAACCGCACTTTCTCCACATGTCAGATACACGAAAACGAAACTCTATATGGCATGTGATGTGCTTTCCAGGAGGGAGTATTCTTTAAAGGCACGCATATGTTCTGTCTATTTGTCAATAAAGATTTAATATTGATCTATATAGCATCAGCAATTGACCACAATGAAGCCACTGCCGGAGTGCTCTTAGACTTATCTAAAGCATTTGATACTTTTTAAAGTATCAAATTATCAAGATTTAAAAATCATGAAATTTTATTTTTTATAACCTTGAACACTATGGCATTTGTGGACTGGCACTAAAATGGATAAAAAGTTACTTTCTTCACTGCAAACAATGATAGTTTCCATTTTTTTAATTTTTTTTTTTTTTTTTTTTAAATTTTATTGTTAAATATCCATCTTTGGCATATAGAAATACAATGGATTTACAAGTTAAAAATATATACTAAAATACATGTGTAACCTATGAGAATGTAAAAATTAGAAAGTTTAAGAAGTTTTTATATACATATGTACAATGATCTAATTTCATGAGTTGGTTAATCTACACGCCTTGGGATAAAAGACGTACTATGCCTGTGTGTTTTTGAGAGCTGTCTTGGAGTGCTGTCTCTGGTCCTTCTCAGTTCGTAAGTGTGATTCTTATTACCAGATAGGAAACGATTACATGGGTTTTTTGGGACTTCCACGATCCTTTTCAGCTCGTTGCATGTTGCCTTGTCCCTTCTTTCTTTTAGTGTAGGGAGGGTATCTTTCTCAAGTCCTAGGATTCTCAAGCTTCTTTGTTGAACACGTTC